GAAAAATTTTCCGCTCCTTAGGGGGGCGGCAGCTTCAAAAAGGTTGAGAATCACTGAGCTAGAGGGACCCCTGGCCTGCTTTAGTATAAGGAAGCTTCCTATGTTCCTTTTATAAACATGGGAGTCTCTTTCGGGGGGGGGGGAAAAAACAAACATGCGAGGTTGTCAGCTGTACAGTATGAAAAAGTGGTGTTGCAAAAATAAATAAAATTTTAAAATCCAATAGTTTCTGATTGGAATACATACTGAACAGCAAAGTACACTGCAAGAAACAGTTGCCCCGGACTGCAGTAAATGCGCCAGCCAAAGTCCTACAGTACTCTGCGGTGGAAAAATGGCCTGGAGGTCCCTGACAGCGGACTCGACCCCTGAACTCCCAGGACGCCCATCAGAACAGCCGAATCAGAGACACCCGCATTCAGCGGCCCACCCCGTTCCCGCGGGAGCGGCCCGGGAACCTGTATAAGTCTCGACCGATTGCAGGAAGAAGCGGCCGAAACGCGTTCTGACGCCCTGCTATTCAGGGCCCCACGAGCGCGATCGTATGCAGGTTCCGGGGCTCTCTCCAGACGAGATGGCGGAGGAAGGAGGGCAGGTCGAAGCCCAGGCTCGACGAGCGGGCGAGGAAGGCGGTCTGCGGCCGAGGAGCGCCGCGGAGTCGTCCTCGCGGCGCCTGGTGCTGCCGCCCTCGTGGCTGTCCCCGGCGGGCGGGCTGCCGGCGGGGCTGGGCGGCTGGTATCCGGCCCTGGAGGTCCTGGACGTGAGCGGGACGGGGCTGTCGGCGCTGGGCCCCGAGCTGCTGGACCTGGCGCATCTGCACACGCTGCTGGCGAAGAACAACCGGCTGGGGTCGCCCGGGTCGCTCCCGAAGGGCCTGGGCGGCTCCCCGCTGTGCCGGTCCTTGCGCGTCCTCAACTTGAGCGGCAACCGCTTCACGCACCTGCCCGCCTCGCTCTTGGGCCTCTCCCGCCTCCAGAGCCTCAGCCTGGGGAGCAATCGGCTCCAGAGCATCCCCCCCGCTATCCAGAAGCTCAGCAGGTGAGCCGGCTCGGAGAAGGGGCCAAGAGGCTCCCGGGGAAGCCGCCGTGGGTGACCTGCCGACCCGAAGCGTGGGTTGCATTTTGCGGGAGCTGCACCGGTCCCCACGATGCAAAATGCGGGGTTTGCTGCTGTTCCTGCGAGCTCTTCCCTCTGCTTCAGTCAAGGGATGCACCTTTTAGAAGGCCTCAGTGGTTTTATACTGTCAGGTTATTTCAAGTGGGGCATCAGCTCATTCACTGTTTTTCTTGAGCGTGGATAATCGGGGGATTTTCTGTACATAAATTCCAGGAGTCTCTTGAAAAAGGTGGGTTTATTATTTCCTTCTTCGCCCGTGCCTTTGGCGAGGGAGAGGGAGACCCCTCGCTTCATCACACTTGCCATCTTTATCTTTTATGTTTTACTGATTTTATTGTAATTTCTTTGTTTGATTGGTGTGATACGAGTTTAATGGATTATTATAACTATTATTTTAGTTATTTAGAACATTTATATCAGGACTAGTGGACTGCTAAAATATAGACAACCGATAGATGGCAGCAGACAGCTGAGAGTTTTCCCTATCTCTACAGCCATTTAGTAGCCATTGGATTTTTGTAGTTTTGTTGAATACCATTCAATACAGCATATTTGGATGGCTTTAAAAATATTTTAAAATGCAAGCATAATATTTATGAAAAATACAAAACTCTTTGAATCGCCTTGATGAAAAAATAGGCTCCTTCATATTTTTTTTCATCCAGGCTATTCAAAGAGTTTTGTATTTTTCAATGCCAGCAGCAGTTTGTTTCATAACTATAGTTTTGGCCTCAGAAAAATCAGAATTAATGATCTTATATCCATAGTGAAATCTACAAAAGAACATAGAGCAGATATTATAGTATGGGAACAGGCAGTCCTGCAGGTAATTTCAGCACTTTCACTCATTGGGTATACAATTTAACTTGTACAATTACTAACAGGAATAGTCGTTTATTCTCCAGGAATAAAAGAAGGGGACTAGCAATAGAATTATGACACGCCCAAGTAAAAAAAAAACTTTGTGAAGGGGAGGACACGTCCCAGAAATGAGAGTGCAAAATGGAAGCCTAGCTTCCAGGAGCAGGAGTTCAAGTGCAGTCATTTCAGTTCTCATCATTTTAGCCCATGGCTTGTTCTTCTAGTCACCATTGCCAATATTTCAACCCAGGGACAATTTGTTTAGTCTCTTCTAGTCTCTCATTGTTATTTCCCACGTTCTTCTCTTTTCAGTGTGGTCAGTTTGCTTTATATATTTAAGAGTCTTCTGTAAAGTTAGAAAAAATAGTGCAAGGTCCTCTTGAAAATGATTTTAGAATAATGTTGGAAGTAATATTTGAAAATTATATGTTTAATCCTTTGCACAATTCCATTTTCTTTTAGAATCCATTTAATTATTTATAGCTCATTTGGAGATGCACAGTCATGTCAGTATATTTTTCTCACTGGCTATTATTTTCTACTGACATTATTATTCTCCGTTTTGGTATAATGTGAAGGTGTTGCAAGCGTTGCCTTCAGACTTAAAGAATATCACCTGGTAATTAATTTTGTGTATTTAGAGGTGTATATTTCTGAACTTTGTGGCTATATATTGAATTGCTATGATTAAGAGTAGTTGATAGCGCTAAACTTTGCCATGAAATTCACTACAGTTTAATGCTGGAACTTAAAGACCTAGGTCCAAATATCCATATGTGAAACGTAACAGATGACCTTGTGCCAATTGGTGTCAACCAAGTTAGTCTTTATGTGATGACTTGAGCTTATAAGTAGATAGAATATACTTATAAGAAAAAAGAAAGAATATACTGTGTATCACTTCAAGAACAAAATTCTCTTTCTCCCATATACTGAAGAGGCATAAAAACAATTTACTATTATGAAATCACCTCTAGTTTGATGTGGACCAATGTGGTTTATGCCAGTTCTCAATTGGTAATAGATGAAGCAGCAGTAAATGGGGCTCAGGATAAGTTCATAAAGCTTTATTTGAGGAGGAACACAACAGTTGCCCCTCCTGCGTCACTCAGGCTTACCAGAGTTCACCTAGGCTTGGCCCAACCATGGCTTGTGCTATTTTTCTTCTTTTTCCTTTTGCATCTCCTGGGGCGGGGGGGAAGCATGCCTGCCTACCGTCAGACCTGTCAATGTACTGCTGTCATTGCTGGATCAGGCGTCAAATGGCTTCCCCCAAATCCTTCAACCGAAATAGATGCAGAAGAGGTGAAAGTCATCATGCCATCTCCCTTAGCAATCTGGTAGGGTGTTCCCTTGGTATTTTATTATCCTCTGGTATTTTTGGAACCTCCATGGAGGGCAGATCTTGGTATGGGTGCCTTCTAAAGTGGGATTATGACCAATCAGAAATAGTAATCCAGATGTCTGCTGCCTTCCCGCAGGGCAGCTTTAAGCATAGGTATCTGCAAAGGGGTGGGTGGAAAGGGAATGACAAACCATGTGCCACAATGCAAACCACATGACTTCTATACTTGTGTCCAACGTTGGAAAGCAAATACAAAGGCTGGGTTTGCTTTGTGACTTTATGATGCATGCTTCATAACTTCTATGTGTGCCAGATGCCAATAGCTTTGAGGACCTTGTAAACCTTTGCTGAGTATTGATTCCTTTCTGGGTGACTTTAGCAATTATCTGGCAGATAGAAATTCAATAGGGAACACTTATCCTCTGCTGGGAGGCACATATAACAACTTGGAGGGGGAGAAAGAAATTATTTTTCATCATCTATTATTATGTTCTCGACAGCAGTTTTTTTTTGTTGACGGTGACCTATCTGGAGAAAATTAACCTGATGAATAATTTCCTCCTCTTTTGTTTTCAGATTTGTTTATTTATTAAAAATTCTTTAGTACAATCATTTTGTAATATATAAAAGGTTGAGTTCCACTGACATGCTAAATCAGTACTCTGAAATGGATGCAGACTTTATGTGTTGATTTTTGTTTGTCTTTCAGTTTAGAATTTTTGTACCTTGGAGGAAATTTCATTACTTCCATTCCACCAGAGTTAGCAAACCTGTCTTCACTAAGTTACCTAGTCCTCTGTGATAACAGGATACAGAGTATTCCTCCTCAGTTGGCACAGTGAGTATTTTTAACCATTTTACTATTTTGAATATCTTTCTGATATCTGTGTCCTGAATTTAGTTGCTTATAAAACTGATAACTATTTTCTTTTGAAGCATTTTTGGGTCAAAAGGAGGATATCATCTGTATATTGACCCAATTTTATGTATATGCTGAGAAGCTGTAACTCATTGCAGCTTCACAGTCAGCAAATTGTACAATAATTTTACATGCTAATCTATACACAATACAGGTAGGTCATGATTAGTGCAAACTCAAATAGTGCAGTATTCGATTTAGTGCTAATTATTAATTGATACCAGGTTGTGTTTAATGTGAGCCAAATACAGTTAATGTGAAGCTAGCTAGCGTGCAGTTGAGGCTAGCACATGTGCAGTTGCTCTTGGGATTTATTATATTTATTATAATTGCTGCAGTATGCATATTAGAGGAGTGCATTGTTTAATTCATTGGTAAATAATGCCTGTCATCCTGGAGGAGGATTTGTTGCTCATTTTGGTGTACATGATTGTAGAGTCTTACTGTAGTTTTTCCTGTCTCTGATTTCCAGGCTGCATTCACTCCGCTCTCTTAGCCTCCACAATAACTTACTGACATACCTTCCTCGGGAGATTCTGAATCTAGTTCAGCTTGAAGAACTGAGTTTGCGTGGGAATCCATTGGTTGTGAGATTTGTCCGTGAACTGACCTACAATCCTCCAAGTCTCCAGGAACTGGCTGGACGTACCATCAAAACTCGCAATATTCCTTATTTTGCTAGTGATCTCCCTGGAAATCTCCTTCGATATTTGAGTTTGGCCAGCAATTGTCCTAATCCTAAGTGTGGAGGTATATTATTTTCTCTGCTTTTAAGAGACAACTAAGTTTAGAAATTAACAGCAGTTATTTCAAGACATCTGAGGAACCATTTTAGTGTTTTTTACTAAATGCTAAGCTTAGAAAAAAAAATCAAAATAACTAGTCATTAAGAATATCAGCAACAAAAAACAATAGCACAAACATTAAAAAATATAAAACAATTTTTAAAAAAAACTTAGAAATGAATTGGCGACACATTGGACTTAAATAGATTTTATATAATAGAGTATAATGATATGAATTTATATCCATATTGGCATAGGAATCTTCAGAACTCTTAACAAATTAGCCTTGTCCAGGAGTTAAAAAAAAAAAAGCAATCTGCCCTAATACATTATACAAAAAGAAAGACTGAAACAAAAAATTTAAATCTAAAAAACCAAACATACAGGTAGTCCTTGCTTACTGAATATTCGTTCAGCAACTGTTCGAAGTTGCAACAGCGCTGAACAAGTGGCATTTACAACTGGTTCCGCAAAGTTCTGTGATTGCAATTTGGGCGCCTGGCAACCGGCTCGCACTTACGATGGTTACAGCGTCCTGTGGTCATGTGATCTCCATTTGTGACCTTCCCTGCTGGCTTCCCACAAGCAAAGTTAGTGGAGAAGCAGGCAGGGAATGTCACAAGTTCCTCTGGTGAGTCCTCTCCACCTTCCTGCTCACCATGCCATGCCCCCCTTCCCTCAGCCTCCCTGCACTTGCACAGACCTACTCCCACCTCCTCTCAGCCTTCCTGCACTCGCATGTGCTGGCACTCTCCTTCCCTCAGCCTCCCTGCACTCGCACTATGTCCTCCTTTCCTCAGCTTCCCTATGCTTGCACTGCGCTGCACCCTTCTAACTTTGGTCTCCCCGCACTCGCACCATGCCTTCCTTCCCTCAGCCTCCCTGCGCTTGCATGCGCTCATGCCCTCCTTCCCTTGGCTTCCCTGTGCCCTCCTTCCCTTGGCCTCCCTGCACTCGCACTGCACCACACCTCTCCAACTTGCATGCAGCCTATGCTGGGCCTCCCCCACGCCTCTGCAGCACCTCTGCACTCCTTACCTGGGACTCCCACTGCTTCCTGCTTAATAACCCACGTGTCTTGAGGTTATGAAGGCAACCGGGACTGCCTGGTTCTCCTATAATGAACTCACTGGTGTTTATTTCTGAGTAGAAGTGGATAGATTTTTATTCTCTATGTCTAAATCCAATCTGAAACATTGATTTCCCATTTTATTTTTGCACCTCCCAAAGAAGTGTGTAGCTGGATGAGAATAAGTTCCATCTATTCTAGTGATATGTTTAAAGAGCTGACAGTCGACAGCTATATAACCAACCAGCCAGCCATAGATCCCCTCAAACAGGAAGAGAGACGTTAGTGTCATTGATTTGATTCAATTTAGAATTGGTCATAAGCTAAGGATGTAATGACTTTAAAAAGATCTTTTGCACAAAAAAGATAAGGAGAATAGACCATAGAAACTTATGTATGTATATGCTTATACAATAATTGCAAGCACTGTTTAAAAAACAGCCTTTCTTCTGTCTTTAGGAGTCTATTTTGACAGCTGTGTCCGCCAAATAAAATTTGTCGACTTCTGTGGGAAGTACCGTGTTCCACTGATGCACTACCTTTGTTCCCCAGAGTGCTCTTCCCCTTGCAGTTCTGCATCTCAGAGTTCTAATTCCCAAAGTGAATCTGATTCAGAAGATGAAGCCATTGTTGCTGCACGCAGGATGCAAAAGGTTCTTCTGGGATAGGAAGAAGGGATAACACCAGAAGCAAGCATCTGATGTCCTGTAGAATGGGCCTGCCTATATTATATCATTCACAGAAAATGTACCTGGAAAATTATTCATGAAAATGCTTATTGGCTAAAATCACTAAATGCCTTAGGGAGAAATTAGCATAGAGACTTCTTACAGCTTGCTTTCTGGAAGAACACTCTTAAAGCTTGAGATGTTTCAGGACTTTTTGTCATTGGTGACATGTTAGAGATGTTTTAAGGCCCTTCATCTCTGAGGTTGGCTTTGAAGTGGACTATCTTTAGTCACTGTGATAATACTAATAATTATCTAAGAGTACAGAGTGGGAATTCTTTAGTATTGTGTTTAGCATTTATTATACTTGAATATTGTTCTTCCCATACAGGTGCTTGAGCTCTATATATTTATTTTTAACAAAATTCCTCCAAAATGCAGAAATATCAGTATGTGTTACTTCCTTCTTTATTTGGCTTCACTGCCTAAGATCAAATGTTATAACAGCATAATGTGCCTTTCTGTATTTTTATACCAGCTCCATTTTTCTGTCCTTCAGAGCATTCCTAAATTGTACCACCAAAAACTTGGGAGCAAAACTGTTGGGTTTTGGTAGCACTTTCCCTGTTTTTTGGCCTGTGGCTGGGGCTCCTGAAAGTTGTGGTTCAGCAGAACTGGGAAAGCCATAGGTTTCCAATTCCTGCATTATGCTGTAGGACATCATTAGTGCCTTCCTTGGGTTTTCTTCTTGAAGCCTGCCATTTTCTAACTTTCTGAAAAAGATAAAGAATTCACTGTTTTTAAGTTCATCTAAAGCAAAACTGCAAACTGCTATTTTGTTTGCATATATCCAGGTGCCATTATTTGCCACATTTTATGTTATGGATCATATTTCATGATATATAATTGCATACATACAGTGTTTAACATAATATAACCTTGTTTTATGAAAAATCAGACATTTTTACCAATCCTTTTATTTCTCCCATTCCCTTTATTGCAAAGTTATTTACATTATATCCTTCCTCTCTTCCTTTCTTCATATTCACATTTGACTTTCTCATACATGTATTGCCTTTTTGTGAGACTCTGCCCCAAACTTCCTCACTCATATATTTCTAAGCATGTTGAAGTATTGACAATACCTCATATATTTAGGGCCTTGTCTAGTCTCTACAAAAGATAAATAGTCACAGAGGAGTTGCTCTTATAAGGCATCACTAAGGGTATTAGCGGCAGTATGTTTGTGAACTTATGCAATCATTTTTTCACACACAACACTTGCAGTTTCACAGACTGTTGTGACTCCTCTTTTCACATGGCAGATGTGCTTTTCTCCATGGGCTTGTGGATTAATCTTTTTTGTTTGGGCTCTTCAGTCTTTTCTAAAGCAGTGTTTCCATTGCAGAGTGAGCACATATTATTAATGGCAATCCCACTGTTGAGTGTTGAGTAAAAGTAATACTTCTGCAGTGGAGGGCCTCTTTTCTGAATGATATTAGGAATGCTCTCAGCCATATAGAAGTCTGTGTGTATTAGTGAGTGGAAGGGAACCTCACATGGAAAGGTCCCTGCATTTTAGGGAGAAAGGAGTCCAGTATTATTACTGAGATCATTGCAAGATCTGTGAAAGATGGTAGGATCTACAGGTACTTATGTTTCTACTTTTCTATTATGGCTTCTGCCTCTAGTGAATGATTTTCTGTTTGATAGGATTAGTTCATGGACAAGCATGAATACATATATATCATCTACTCCCGAGTCTTTGAAATGGCATATCTGTCTGTCTGTCTATCTTTCTTTAAATACATACATACATATAGAAAGAAACCTGGCAGAGTGAATGTGGTGTGTATCCTTGGCCAGAATCCCGTCATGTTGATTTTTATTTAGATTCAGATGTTATTGAACTCTAGCTTCCATCAACCCCAGCCAGCATTTTCAATACAGTAGAGTACTGCAAGTTCTGTGCCATCTAGATAATGAAAGTGATCTCTTGGAATAACTTTTACAAAGGATGCCTTTATAAGCATTCAAGAAATGCTGCTATTTAACAGCAATATATCTTCTTCCCCATCTTCCCTTTCTAGTTTACTAAAATTATCAGTGGGAAAAATATTTTTTTGTCATAACATGAAATTAAATCTTCCAAATTCAACTTTAAATTCTACTCATTCACTAAGCCTGGAAACAGATCTAGATAATAGCAAGTGTTTTCAAACCTGAAGTTGGCCATTATTATTTCATTTAGCATTCAAGTTATAATTAATTCAGTCTGCAATCTCCACCTTAAGAGTGAGTCTGAATGCAGATCTTATACCTTTTTCCTCTAAACTTTTTATGCCATGTCAGCCCAATAAATGATTGTGGAGAACTTAAAATGTTTGTAAACTATTCGGTGACATTTGTGTTAGTTCTAATTAAGATACAATCTAACTGAATTTTATTGTTTTTTTTTTAGGGACAAGATCTGTATTTTTTCCTGTTAATTAATTTATTAATGATTTATATGCATAATGGAATCTTGATACTATTTGATGTCAGTCCTATACAAGTAAACTCTAACAATGACTCTTGTTTAATCTGGCATTTTTGATAATAAGCTTAGGCAGTATAAACATAATGTTTTTCCCTGGATTGAGTTTATTCTAAACTGTGACTGAAAATATTGTTTATACCTGTTGCTCCACCCACAGGCATGTCAGGTTTCATTAAAGCATTGTTTTAGATTTTATTTTGGTTCTTTCTTTCCATAGCATAAAAATTAAAAAATGCCAAATCTGAATGTCCTTAAATAATTCGTCTTTTCTGCTTGCTGTGTATTCTTCCTATCATTTCTTTATCCATGAATGGTAGATGGAATGTTTATAAATTAAAATGCAGTGCTGTAGGATCTGTATGGAAAGGTTGGAGACAACACCTGAAGCAATTTGTATAGTTTTGTATATTTATATTTCACTCTAGTTAAACTTTAAAGGATTGATTTGTTGAATATTTTAATATGCCTTGCTTGGTACTTATCTCTCTTTCTCAAAGAAAACTGAGTGGCTTTTCTGATTTTTTAAATTTTAAAATATTTTAGATTGCTTGCCAAATGGGTATCTTTGTCTTTTAATTTATACAGGTAGTCCTCCCTTAATGACTATTCATTTAATGATGGTTCGAAATTATGATGGCCTTGGAAAAATGCTTTACAACCTGTACTCACGCTTATGACTGTTGCAAGCTGCCACACCACCCCCATGGTCAAGTGATTGCGATTTTATGACCATTTTTACGATGGTCATTAAGCGAATCACGTGGTTGCTAAGCAACTTCCGGCAAAAAATGTCCATTGGGGTAGCTGGATTCACTTAACAGCCACATGATTCACTTAATGGCCAAGGTGATTTGCTTAACAACGTTTATAAAAATGGTAATAAAATCAGGTCTGGTCATGTGGTGACTCGCTTAATGACTGCCCTGCTTAATGACCAATTTTCCAGTCCCTATTGCCATTAAGCAAGGACTACTTGTATTCTGTTTAGGATAATGGACAGAAGATAATTAGCCCACCATGGGAAGTAATAATTCTTACCATTGCTGCTTTGTTATGGTCATCAATGGGCTTTTTAGTGAGATTATTGCTGTTCACACAGATGTTTATAGTGTAATGTAAATATAGTTTCCATCCTAGAAACTACCCAATAAATTACATTCCTTATTTGTTTAGCACACTTGGTTGTACCTAAAAAAAATCATATAGATGTTGTAGAAAGAGAAATTGGAGCACACTAGATTTAGAAGAGACAGTTTCAAAAACCTTAGAGAAGTTCTCATAGACAAAAATCCTCAGGACGAAAGGAGTGCAGGAAGGATGGAAACTTCTAAAATGTAACATATTGAAAGTACAATCACATACCATTCCTATAAGTAGAAAAATGGAGGGCTACTTAGGAACCTTATGGCTGCACAGCTTTCAACTGAGTTGAAAATTAAAGGACTGGTACAGGAAAAATTAGCAAGTAGCTAATATCTGCAAAAAATGGGCTAAAGAGCAAAAAGAGCAGTGGCAAGAGAAACTAAAAGTATCAAAAGGGGGCTTTTTTGGCTATATCAGTCAAAAAAGGAAGGGGTGGGTTTACTCCTAGGAGATTATGTTTGGTTAGCAATAGGTGGCAGGGAGAGGACAAAGTTCCTTTGCCTCAGGCTTCTGCCAAAAAGTAAACTTCCAGTGGACCCCAGCAGAACAACTAACAAAAGGACGGAGTGACAACCCAAGGTTAAGTAGAGGTAGATAGGAAGAACTTGACTACTATGAACAAGTTACAGGCCAATTACATCCAAGAGACTTGTACTTGGAACCCATTTTTGCAGTCATGGAGGACAGGTATAGTGCCTGAAGAGCTGAAAAACTCTGGAACAGTTTATAAAGCAATTGGTTTATTAGCATTTAGAAAATAATGCATTGGATTCATAAAATAAATCATGCCAAACTAACCTGATCTTTTTTGTTACAGTGAACTCTAGTTGACTTGGGTTCCCTTGGGTAGGAAAAAATCATCAAAGAGGCCCCATCTTAACAAACTCATTAATAAATGAGGCTACAGTACAAATATCCAGTTTCCAAGATTCTGTAACAAGCCCCCTTTTTCCTTGCAATAAACTTGACTAATGAATCTTTGTGAGAATCTAGCATTCATGGTTGTAAATTGTTACTAGAGGCTTGACAATGCTCTCTCCTTCCATTGGATACCTTCCAGCCTTGGGCTTATCTTCCAATATCCTGTTGGCATTGGCCTGGTTGTGAATGTTCATCAATCGCCCTCTTCAAAGTCCATTTGAATCTTGGGGGAACCTCATTTCAGAGGGCAGGCATTGCTACAGAGAAGGTACACTTCCAGGATCCCAAAAGATGACAATGTTTAAACAAAGGAATCTGGAGTGCACCAACTCTGCCAGACTGGATGATTGAGACAGACACTATGGGAGACAGGCAGTGCCTCAAGTAACCAGACCCTATGCCATTTGGACTTTATATCTAGCAACCAGCACCTTGAATTGCTCCAGGAAGAAAACTGACAACCAGTGTAGCTTGCAAAGCAGAGGTGTTACATGGGCATAATGAGGCATGGCCATACTGCCTGCACCACTGCATTCTGGACCAGTTGGAGCTTCTGGGTGGTCTTCAAGGGCAGCCCCATGTTAACCACATTGTAGCAGTCAAGCTGTGAGGTGACCAGGGCGTGAGTGACTGTCTGAAGGGCACCCCAATCTAGGAAAGGGTGCAACTGGCTACCAGATGAAGCTGTGCAAAGGCCTTCCTGGCCACAGCTGCCATCTGCTCATTAAGCAGCTGTGAGTCCAGGAAGACCCCATGGGGAGCGCCCCCCCATCCAAAGTCAAAGATCTGGGTGGTTCAAACACCCACAGCCACTCCGTCTTGATAGGATTGAGCTGGACATGGTTTCTCCCATCCAAACCCACACAGCCTCCAGGCACTGGGACAGAATCTTGACAGCCTCATTTGGCTGGCCTGGAGTCAAAAGATAAAACTGGTTATTATCAGGATTCTGATGATGCCAAACCCCAAACCAGTGGATGACTTCACCCAGTGATTTCATGTAGATGTTGAAAAGGTGGGGAGAGTAGAACCCTGGGGCACCTCACAAAGGAGGGGCCTGGGGAACGATCCCTCCCCACCAATCAACACTGACTGAAACTGGCCCCGGAGACAGGAGGAGTACCACTGTAAAACTCTCCTAAGTTTATATTTAAAAGGTCAGTGAAATAAACATCAGGACCAACCCAAGCTTACAAAATAGGAAGCTACTGTTTGAGTTTCACGAAAGTCTTTCATGGGTTCTTCTTTTCTATTAAAAACATCCTTGAAGTTTAAACAATACTTGTTTTCAAGAGTAAGAAAGATCTCTTGTTTTACAAAAATAAAAAAGATGGCGTAATGAAACAGCATGAACTTAAAAGGCAAACACATTCACTCTCTTCTCATGTAAATCCCTTCCTCCTTGAAATCACCACATAGCCATAAAATCTAGGGCTGCCCATGTTCTGGGTGCAGTTATTTTTAAGAAAGTAAAAAGAATCCTGCCCAAAACATATCTAGGCCAGCATTTTGTACCATATAGTAGCCAACTTCATAGCTTCAGGAAGCTTGCAATCATGGATAGGAGGATGAAGGTCCTCCATCAATTTTTTTCCCAGTCCCCTTTCATAATTCTCTATATTGGCGACCATCATCACTTTTGACTGCAGTGAATTTCCTTGTTTAACCATGCATTATGCACCAAAGCATTTTCTTCTATGGGTCCTGAAACTCCCTGCAATGACTGTAGTTTTAAAGGACCTAAGTGGTGATACTGTGAAAATGGGATAAAGGTTTTCTTTGTTCACATTTTATACTGTAAGGTTTTGTAGCCCAGAATCTATACTTTCCAATGAGACTCTAGACCGAGGTTTTTCCAAAGAAAGTTCAGCTTTTATTTTGCCCAAGAGAAAAGCAGGGTGGACCACTCTCTGTCCGGCTGGCAGAGAGAAGACAGAGAACAGCCACACCTAGAAAAGTTTAAAAAAGCTTTTATAACTTTTTTTCATCAGGAAGCATCTAGGAGGAGGGCCACACACACAAGTGTGCCCGCCTTCTAAGGTTGACATAACATTAGCTTAGCAGCATAAACTAATAGTCAAGTCTCTAGTCCTCACTTGTTCCAGGGGTTCCTTATATAAGGCATTGCTATCTAGCTTGCCCAAATCGTGCAGAGGACGTGGTTGCATTGTGTGGTTAGAAGCAAGAGCAGGTGCAAAAGTTCATGCAAGCTCAGGAAATGTGTCTAGGAGCTGGGAGGAGGAAAGGGGAAGACTGTAGACCTTTCCCCTTTTCAGGACCTCTGATACGAGCAAGCAAGACACTGGGCCTTTAGCTTAACCACATCTTCCATTTCTTTTTGCAACTCTGCAAACTGTTAAAATGTCCCTTTACAATCAGCATAACTTTTATTTGTTTAGCACCTTATAACTTTAGCATCTAGATTGACCCTTAGCCACACAGCCACTAGGTCAGCAAAAGCTTGAGGTACAGAAGCAAAGAAGCAACAGGCCGTTAACGCTTCCTACAATACCATACATAATTTTATGTCCTACTATCATTACTAAGGTAAATAAAAATCCAGCACTAGTTTTTCATGTTCTAACCCCACATTCATTTTGATGGATGCATTTTGCATACTTTGACCAGCATGAACTTCTCTCAGACTAAACCGTTCTTCTAATTATATGTTTTGTTATATTAATTATGAAGAAAAACACTTTTCCAAAAACTATTTCAAATATTCCTCCTGATTTATTCTATGCATACTGATACTGTACTATTCCAAATAATGTTAACATTTATTTATTAAGGGCTGAGTGAAAACATTTTCTTACTGTTTCAGTTTATACCAACTTGAATCATCCACAATCATTTCATTAATAGGAAATGTGATCTATTCCTTTCTGATCCCCTTAAGTGGCTAATCTATTGAAATATTTATCTCTATGCTCTGCTCAGTACAAAGCAGAAGAATGATTTAACCTACTCACCCTGTTGTAGAGCAACATTAACATGAAGAGTGCATTCTGATTATTTCTTTTTGTTCGGTAGAAATGTACACCCTAATTAGTTTGGAAAGATACTTATATCTGCAGCTTCTGGCACTGGGATTTAGTGAATAAAAATTTCCTATTAGAGTATAGTGAGAGTAAGTTATATCCCTTCTATATCTGGACACCAGGCATTTGGAGCTTTTACCAATCTGACGCTTGCCAAGTGTGTTGGCTTTCAATTCTTATGATATTCCATTACTGATCTCAAGGAGACCACCCTCCAGGAGAAGAATGATAAAGCCTATATCATTATTAAACTGAGCTAGAATGCATTAGAAAATGTAACACGAGAAATCCCACTAGTTTATCAGTGCAAGAATATCTCTGTCACACCAAACTATCACATTACTGTTTTGTTAATAGTAATAATTTATTCTGTCTCTTATCTCTCCTTTCAAAACCATTCTCTATGCATCTGATGAAGTGGAATGTGATCCATGCAAGCTGATAAATAATAAAGTCTTCAAGTGTCACAAGACTCTTGTTTCTTTTTTATCAATATCTGATACATTCTAGCAATCACTTTAAGGTAACATTTTGCACTCCCATGCAAAGTGGTTCTGTATTCCAAAAAGTAAAGATGACAGTGAAAAAATTGATACAATTAATTAAATTTAAACTTAATTACAGTTAAATATACATGCTTGCTACCCATATATTTAATAATTTCTAACTTCTTTTACATTATAAACTGCAATTTGGCAGCAACATTTGATGGAATCTGAGGGTCCCATCCAAAATTTTGGAAAGTTGTTGGAGCCTTAGGTTTCACACCTCTGTTCTAAAGGGCAAACTGAACTCTCTCTCACTACCCATTTTTATTAATGAAAGCAGATCAGAGATGTGGTTGAACACAGAAGTGAGGAGATGCTTTCTAGAACATATTCTGTCAATCAATCCTCCAATTAGAGGTCTGAATATTATTTAAAGCAACATGACTCCAAGTGCTTTACCAGTTTGGGAAGTTATGATGAGTTCTTTAATCTTACATACAGTAATGGGCATGCAACACTGGAGAGAAGTCATTACCTGGGACTCTCAAATATTTTACTCACAAGCGTCTATGTCAACAGATACCTGTACTTTGATCAAGTGTTCAACTGAATTTAAAGAAGGAGAAATTAAGACCAGAGTGGAAACAGCAAGCAGAAGCACGTATTTTGCATGAAGTTTGGCTTAAAATTCAAGAAGACAAAATGAAAGACAGTTAAAGGACCAGGGTGGATAAACTCAGAGCTTTCTAAAATACTGTAAATTAAAAATGACACGTATATGAAATGGAAGGATGGGGGAGGTAATGAAGAATAAAAGAAGGCTGTCACCAGAAACTATAGAACCTACACCAGAAAGGCTGAAGTTGGAATGAACTGAAGCTTGTGACAAATGCCCCAAACAACAAAAAAGGCTTTTTTTTTTAAACGAAAAGAAAAAAGGCTATAGGTCTGTTGCAGTGAGGAAGGGGTGAATTGGTCATGGGTGATGGCAAGAAGGTAGAATTTCATACTGTACCTTCTATTTTGTATCTCTTTTCTCTCAGGAGGAAAATGAAGCCCTAGTGTGCTACTACTAGTGTGCTGTGCTACTAAATGGAAGGAAGGAGCTACAGCTCAGGATAGACCAGGAGAGGGTAAAAGAACACTAAAGAATTTTAATGAGCTCAAGTCTCCAGGTCTCGATGAATTACATTCTAGAGTATTGAAGGAGCTAGCAAGATGATTGCAGAACTGCTCTCAGTAGTCTTCAAGAATTCCTGGCAAACTGGTGAGCTCCCACAAGACTGGAGGAGAGCAGATGTTGTTCCTACCTTCAAAAGAAAAGGGGGGGGGAGGACCCAGATGATTATAGTCCTATCAGCTTGATGCCCTTGAACAGATTATTAAACAGCATATTTGTGAGCACTTGGATAGGAACAGCAAGAGCCAGCATGGATTGATTATTTATAAATAAATTATGCCAGCCTAACCTTATCTCAAGAGTCAGTTTGGTTTAGTGGTTAAGCAGAGGCTGTGAGTTCTTAGTCCCGCCTTAGGCATAAAGCCAGGTGGGTGATCTTGGACCGTCTCTCTCAGCCTAGGAAGAAGGCAATGGCACACCACTTCCAAAACTGCTGCCAAGAAAATGGCAGAGATTAGTCCAGTCACCAGGAGTCAACACTGACTCAAAGGCACTAAAAAAAGCAGCCCCCCAAAAAACTTTTTTCATATCTCAACAGTTACTGGCTTAATAGATCAGAGGAGTTTCATGAATTTGGTATATCTTCACCTTCACCAGCATTCAAAAAGTTTCTAATGATATCCTCATTAATAAAAAGGTAAAATATGGGACAGATGATACAACTTCAGATGGATTCATAACTGACTGACATCCCCTCAGAGTACTCATAAATGGCTTCATATCAGCTTTGAGAATCTTATCAAGTGGAGAGCTACTGACTTTGCTCTCAGCTGTGTGCTGTTCAATGTTTTTATTAATGAATGGATGAATGGGTGAAGTTTTGGTATTCTCAGAATCTGGGAAGGAGAAGGTAGTTTGGAAATTAAAGAAAGCTCTGAAGTACTATATGCTCAGGTAAATGGACAGCGAGCTCTCCTATCCATCAAAGGGCAGTTAGCAAGAGAATTAAGAAAGGTCTACACAGCAACTCAGAGGTAGAACCTTTTAGAATCCAGGGATCTAAACGTGAAAGTACATACAATAGTTGTTGAGATTTCTGTAATTTAATCCCTTTTCTGTTTCAATAACTCTGATTATAAAGGTCTTTGCGAAAATCTTGTTTTCTGTTACCAACAACTTGAATGGTTAAGGAGATGAATATTGTTTTTGCAGATGACAAAACTAGAAAGGGTGCTAATACTTTAGAAGAGAAAGAGAAGATTCAAAAAGATCAGGCTTAAACAGTGGGGTGAAACAAAGAGGATGAAATTTAACAGAGAGAAACATAAAGTCCTACATTGAGGGAGAAAAAAAAAAGGCACACGTTTAGGAGGGGGAAATTGGCTTGCTGTTGAATATGTAAAAATAATCTGGGTACTGAACATTAGCCAACACTGTAGTGCAGCTGCTAAAAAGACAGGGATATATTAACTGGAATATAAAGTCAAACCATGAAAGGTAAATGTCCCACTCCACTCTCCTTTCATCAGGCTGCGTTTGGCATACTGCATCCAGCTCTGGACACCACAGCCTAAAAAGGACATTGACAGAGTGGAGCGAGTTCAGAAACCAAGTCCTGTGCACATTTAAAGGAAGTGGGTATGTTTAGCCTGCAGAAAAGAAGACTGAGGGGAGATATGGTAGCAGTCTTCAGATATCCAAAAGGTTGTCACATAGAGAAGGAATAGGAACTGGATTTGTTCTCTGTTAACCCAGATGGCAAGATCAAAACCACCTGGTTGAAACTACAGGTCAGTAGATTCAGATCAGATATTATGAGGAATTCCGGAATGTAAGAGCTGTCAACCAATGGAATAGGTTGCCTCAAGACAGCCCTGGATTAACCATTAAGCAATCTGGCTGAGAGATGACAAAGCCATGAGTCTTCAGCTCATCCTGTTCAGATAAGGCTGCAGATGGCACACCAACTCTAGTTGTACAAAAACCCACCTGGCCAGAGTTTCCACCTGCTCTTTGAGCAGAAGCTGAGTCCAGGAGGACTCTTAGGTTGCAAGCTTGCTCTTTCTGGGGAAACATAACCCCATCAAGAACCAGAGATGGTAAAGACCTAATGTCAGCCCTTTGAGATACTCCAGATGGTGATGTTATGGTATTTTTTATAGAGGCCTGTATATACCTGGAAGAACAGCTGTATGCTTCAGGATGGCTAAAAATTTTGGTCAGGTTGTATACCTATCCTTGTTTCATGTATATTCCATATTAATCTGTACAGTATGCATTTTACAGGGAAAGAAAGCTTGGCATTCTTTCTATGTTTAGGATTATAACTCCAATACTCTGGATTAAAACTCCTACCATCTCTGATTCTTGCTAGGATTTACTGGCATTGTAGCTGAAAACATTTGGAGGACATCCAGTTAATGGGTTTAATGTGCATCACAACGTCTTGCACCCAAATGTAGTATTTGGCTAAATGTCCTGTGTTCCTAAATTATCTTGCAGGAAAGAGCCCATGGAGGGGTTTAAAGCATGATTTAATTAATTCCAAATTCCGTTCCATCTCATGCATTTGGGTCACCACATGGGAAAGAGCGTGTGCAAAACCAATCATTTTATTTGAAGAGAAGTCTTGTGGCTCCTAACCGGGGCAGCCATTAGTCATAAAGATTCACCAGAGCAAACGCGATTCCAGGCCAAGCATATCTAAGAAACTTCCATTCATTATTGAAACTGCTCGTGCCTCTTCAGCTATTGTAGTACTCAGCTTCAGGGTCGCTTTGTATCTGATGCTCCAGGTCGATTCCACCCCCCAACCCCCATCTGAAGCCTTGGGTTTCCTCCGAAGAAGCGATCACCCGCCCCAAGCAGCTTGAACCGACGGCCTTCTTGCTCAGGTGATGCCTCTGCCCGCAACGCCGTCGCCGAACCGGAGTCGCCCAACCGCGCACGGCAGTTTCGCAGTAGAAGGAACGATGCAGTCAGGCTGCGAATGCAGAAAGCCTCTCTTCCAGTCCCCAGGCAGCAACCACGAGGAAGAACCGGTGGGAAGACGCAGCCCCGCCGCGGCTTCCCTTGCTTCGTAGCACTCCGGCAGGAGAGGAGGGGAGCGCGTGCTTGCGCGTGCCCGGCTTGGTCAGATCGAGAGCAAGACAGGTGGGGGGAGACAAGCAGATTCTGCCCAACCCTGTCCCACCCCCCATCACTGTTTTTCCAGTTAAAAAGAAGACGGGCGAGAGAGGTTTTCGTGCCCTCTCCCCTTTCTAGCGATCCAATACAGCATCAAGCAGACGCAAAGCAAGAGGAGCCATGTTACTCAGGAGAGAAAGCAAATCCAATATCCAGAGAGGCAATTCCATTATTAGGCCAATGAAAGTTCCACGAAGTCGTTGCAAGTTTCAGGCAAGCCGGTTAGGAAAATGAAATCGAGCGGGGTGGAGAAGAACGGAGGAAAGACTTGGCCGATGAGGAAGCCACGTCTGCCCTGACTTCTGCAACATGCCAGGGACGATGTCCCTCCCCACCTGCAAATCTGGGTTAATTTGCGGTAAAGACTCTCCCAAGATTATATATTCTTCATCTGTGGTAAGTTCGTTTGAGAGATCACGGCTGGGCCAATCAGCACGCTCTTTTGTTCTTTCTGCTAGCACGCTATAAGTTACTTTGTCTGAATCGAAGCATGAGATCGTATTTCCCCCTCCATCCCCGCATAACACCAAGTCTAGGCAAATTGCTGCGGAAAGGAAGATTCTTCCGGGTATCACAACTATACTCATGATAAGCAACTCTCTCAAGGGCAGCTGTGTAATTGTAGGGACCAACAGGGGCAGTTCTCCTGTTTCGTTCCACGCCCCTGCCCGGAGCCTGTCTGAGAGGGCTGGGCCTCCCATCTCTAGAGACCTTTTAGGTGGCTGCTGGGGTGAGGAGAGGGAAGGCCATAGATAACTCTTCTGCCCTTGGCCCTCCGCTTCAGGACAAACCTTTGCAACGGGGAGCCTCTTCCGCCCGTGGTGGGGTTCCCTGGAGAATTAGGGCTCTACATCACCGGACAGAGGAGGGCTGCTGTGGCCAAGGGTTAACCTGAACCCTGGGAGAGAGAACAGCTACAGAAGGTAAAACAGGCTTTTTGTTTTCTCTCTCATGCTGTAAGTATTAGGCTGGGTAATTTTTACAAATACATTCACAGAATTTCTAGCTTGTTTTCTCATTAAAAACAATCCCTGGGCACGATGAAGGACAACTGTACTGTATTGGCTTCAGCATGTGCGTGAGGTCTCTTGCACAATTTCTCTCACGATCATTTAACCTGAATTCCTGAGCCAGGCTGGATTCTTGATTCCTTGTGAATGGGGTGGAGACCTCTTGGCATTACTCAGTCATTATTTTTACTTTATGTCTATTGACTGTGCAGCAAATAAATACATACTTTTCAGTTTCAAGATACATGATAGACTTTTGCAATTGACTTTTCACACTTTGCAAAAATTAGCATTTTTTAAATATATGAGTATATTAGCTGGTCAGTTGGGTATGGGGATACCATGTGGGTGAACAAAGTCTTCATCAGCTATTTTTAATCTTATTTTTCATATACATATCTTGTAATTTGTGAGATAGATGCTAAATGTGAGGCCATGTGAGTTAAATTATTACAGTCTAATCATTTTGCTCATGATTCCTGTCAATCCATTCAGGACTTTTCAGGATAGAGAAATTTCATTTAAGTAATTCTCAGCTGTCACTGCATATACCTGAATTTGAATTCTTGAAGTAAACCTTGCTTCCTATGTCAGCATTAACTAAGCACTGCCCAGATCATGTGGTTGAATCAAGGTTCAGAATGTGCTGTGGAGATGGGATTCAATTATTCTAAGTTATGTGAGAACAGCCTCGGCTGTGAGAGCCAAGAACAGCATCTGAAGGATCTCTGTACTTCAACAATTGTAAGTATATATCAGTAACAGATTATATAGCCAAACAAACACACACACACTCATAATTGGATCATTCAAATTGTGTGTGTCTGTAATTTGCAGTAATCATAGTTCAGTTAAAATGTTCTTGCGGGCTTTTAAGCCATACAACTTGTTTTATCTGAAAATCAGAGGAAAATATCAGCTGTATTGGCTGCCATCTCTGGAGTTATAGTACTGATTGATTTCTCTTGAGTTTTTCTCTTCAAGCACAAGCCATTTCTGACAGAATAAATGGGGCATTATATAAAATGTACCAAATGTTACCATCATTCAAACAAGTACAAAAATCGAACAGTTGAGTCAGTGTATACTGTATACACTGTAATATATACAGTGTAAAATGTAAGAACATCCGGAGCAAAATGGAGCATGAGAAGATGTGAGACCATTTTCTCTTTTCTTGCTGATAAAGTTGTTAAATAGCAATGGGCCAAAGGTGGAGCCTTTGGGGAATCTACTTAAAACCAACTCCCAGTAGGAGAGGTCAGAAATCTGTTGGACCTCCTACTTCTAGCTGAGTTATTGGTGCAGCTGAAATCTTCCATTAGCATTACATCTTGCCCTTTTGAGAATTTGGCAAATCGATTTAGAAAGACATTATCTATTATCCTTTGCTTAGGTGGTAGTAGTAAACTCCTATTGTTTCTTACTTTTTTAATTCCACCAAGATCCTTTCAATGGGATTTTCATATTTAGAGTCATTAATTTCTTCACAGGCATATGGACTCTTTACATAAACCTTTTACCAAGCTGTGCAGAGGTATGGAATTAAAGTGCACCATTTTCCCCATATAGTCAAGCCCTAAAAACTCCAAAACATGCTTTGTTTTGTAAAACACTTGAGTCATGCTACCTCAGTGTCATTGACCAGGCCAATTTAGGAATTGGCTTAATTGTGGTGTGACGTGTTTAGTCTGCGTTGTAAACAAATGCAAGAGCTGCGTGAAACACATCCAGTATTATAGAAATGTAATGTCAAACCATTTGTTTCCAAGTGTTGACTCAGTGATAAAACAGGTAAACTTTAAAAGTAGAAAAACATAATTAAGGTTTCCCACATATGAAGTATAGTTTTTGCTCTTGCACAGAAATGGCTATGAAAAAGGCACCTCTGTTCTTTTTATACAAGATATGAAGTATTCTTTTTATACAGTGAAGGACAGTGGACTCTTATGAGGCAGGCCACCTTACCTTTTTTTGGAGAGAAGTTTCCAAAGCAGTTCTTACCCCTTTCACCTTACTTTTCCCTCAGCCGTTTTTAGAGATCCTCTGTAAGAACGCCTCTTCCTTTTCAGTGGCCCTCTTGGCAATTGTCTGGGCCTTTAACACCAGTGGAGTTCTGCTCAGTTTTTTCTTCCTCGTCTTCACAATTCGCTTCAGAAAAAATAGGTAAGGCCAAGTCCATCTTATGTTTTTACTGTCTGCGCAAGATGCTCTAATGCTTTGTCGTTCAAGAATTGCTCAAGGGAAAGAATCTTGTTTTTGTTTACAGCAGTTTTGTAAATTTTAGACTTTTAGGGTCTGCAGTAGACATGGTTGTGGATTCCTTATTGTCACTGGTCAGGGTGGGGTCAAACCTCCCAAACACAGAGCGGTCAATAAATGGGCCTTGAGGTGCTGGGGGCCATGGGATGCCCCCCAAGCCTTTCAATAAATGCTTCACCTATTGGAAATTTAAAACTAGCTAAGGAAACAGCAAGGTTTTTACATTTATTTATATATATATAAGCATTTGTATTGTTCTGCCTATTCTCCCTAGAGAAAATATTACAATATGTTTATTTCATTAGTTCTTACATTTCTGAACCACATATATAGTAGAAAATAATTTCCAAGGTAGTCCTGGACAAGAAAATGACTGGAAATGTTCAGAATCAACTATTATGTAAAATCATTGAAAGCTGAATGAGCCATTCACCCCAGAGGGCAAATGCTGAGTGATGGCAGCAGGGTGTTTGATGGTTTGGCCTGTATCCTCACAGCTAGGGTGTTGCCTTCAGATATGAAGGACAAGGTTATCTCCTCACCTCTGCTGAAGAAAAACAGCTGCCAATCTAATCAGCTGTGGCAGGTTGGGGAGCCTCATATTTCCTCAAACAGCAAAAATCTCAGGCCAATCCTGCAGAAGCCTTAAATTGAATGCCCTGAGGCTCTTTACAAGAATGAAAAGATAAGCATAAATTCAGTCACTAAGAAAGCTTTCCTGGACTTAAATATTACAGGTAGTCCTTGCTTAATGATGGTAATTGGGACTGGAATTTCTGTCGCTAAGTGATGTAGTCGTAAAGCGCGACACCATAACTGCATCGCTTAGTGATGGCAATTCTGGCAGTCCCTGTTGCCGCTGTTAAGCAAAAATCACGGGTCATTAAGCGAGGACCTCACATGACTGTGACTTGTGACTTCCTGCTGGCTTCCCACAAGCAAAGTCAATGGGGAAGCTGGCTGGAAGTTACAAGTCCTGGGTGGCTCACAAGCAGATTGGAGGGTAGGTGAATACTACAGAGTGAGGGGGTGTTGCTGTGGTGCTGTGTGTGCATGCACGCTGGGGAGGGGGTGCTGTGGCATGATCATGCTAGAGAGTAGGAGATCCCTGGGGGCTCCGTAGGGGGCTCCTCAGGAGAAAAAGCGGCAGGAGTGACTTGCTACCTTCCCTATTGATTTTGCTTGTGGGAAGCAGGCAAGGAAGGTTGTAAAGAGTGATCACGTGACTGCAGGATGCTGCACCTGTTGCAAGTGTGAGCCAGTTGCCAAGTACCTGGATTGCAATCATGTGACTACAGGGATGGTGCAATGGCCAAAACTTCAAGGACTGATCGTAGGTACCACTCGTTCAGTGCTGTTGCAACTTTGAATGGTTGCTGAATGAGTGGTTGTTAACCAAGGACTACCTATATTCTTAATATTGGCTTGGTTACAAATATCTTTGTGGACTAATTGCACACACTTAGATGCCACCAGTGTATTTATTATGGTTATATACAACTTAATCAGGAGATAACCCAGTCTAAGTTTTGACTCAGCTTTGAAACTGAAGCAGCCTTAGTCCACTAATACAGGAGTACACAACAACCACTGGCTTGAGGACCACCCTAGCTTTAAGCAGTATATTAAGGGCCCCACTCCAAAAGTAATGGGATTAGGACCAAAAAGGAACTGGTGCTTGGTGGGATGAGTCTTTCAAGGATTAACATGGGCAACTTAAACTTCTGCAAGGCTTAAGAACCTTTTGCCCCTTAAAATTCCACCAAAATACAAAAAGGGGCCTGCATTTTTTCCTCTGCCCACTTTGGGAACTGGAAAAGAGGTGCTGGTGGGCTGCATGAGGTCCACAGTTTTTTCATTGTTGCTCTAAAAGATTATTCACGCTTGGGGAAACAACTACTAAGCATCTCCTGAATTTCTTGACAACTTTAGAAACCTCTGACTATAGGATCTTTCTGTACCAGGTGGGGATTAGGGACACTATGCTTCAGAATTCCATTCCTAGTGGAAAAAATGGGAATTTCAGGGTGCTACTTCAGGGAATATAATTAACTTGGAAGGAGGGAGCATCATGAGTTTGGCTGCTACTTTTTTAGACAGGGAGAAGAGCAGAATAGTGAAATCCAGATACAGCCTGGTGAGAAACAGACTCTTGTAATATGTATTGGAAGGGTCTAATGCAATTTTTTCCTCCCAATAACTCTTCCTCATGTCCTCAACTCCTTTATCTACTTCAGGATTGTGAAGATGTCTAGTCCAAACTTGAATGTTGTGACTCTCCTGGGCACTGGCTTGACTTACAGTAGTGTGTATCTCTTTGGAATTGAAAAACAGAATCCATTGACCAGACCATCCTTGGAGATGCTGATTCAAGTAGGTGAATGCAAAAAAAGAGCAATTTTGAGATGTACTATGTATTGATCTTAGCAACATAGTTATACAGTAGATTCCCAACATAAGAGGGATATGTGGAAAATGAGTAAGATTATTTTTCAATATTTTGCTTTCAGAAGGAACCTCTCCGAAGCCTTTAAACATCTTTTTCAGTTTCTAACATTTAAAATTCCAGGTTCTTGTCTGTAAGCACATAATGCAAAAAGAAAAAAAAGAGAAAGAAATTTTATAACAATGAAAAGAGAAAAAGAAAAGAAAAAGCATTTCCAAAAACTTAGTAGATCTGGGTCCAATTGTTTAAGGTGAGAAACTGCCTGGAGACTCCTGTTAAATTAATGTTGAATTTCAACACAAATGTCATGGTTATATTTGTAAAATACGTTTAACTATTAACCCGAGTAGCTCCTTACCTTTAAATCTGGCAGCAAACAATCACACCAACTGGGTCAAGAGCCATATTTTGGAGGTATACAGAGACCCTACCCATTTTCTCCAGGCCTGCCTAGTGTCTCCTATGCCTTTGTACCTGAAGGGTACTGGTGAGGGTTTGTTATGCCAACAGACCCTTCCCAGTTTAGCTCGATTCAGTTTTCTGTGTCTTTTGCTGCCATCTAGTGCTTATCTGCAGTGTTACAACTCAGGTACAGTAATTGTAGCACAATATATGAACATAGCTCTTCTCAGTTTTTTGGTGAGAGGAGGGCAGAAAGACATTCTGATTTCTGCTCTGTTATGTTGTTCTTTACTTTCCTCTTTAGCCTGTTCCTATTTGAAGGTCCTTCCTTACTACCTAGTTAAAGGGTCCCCTACCCATCCTTGAGTGAGCAGAAACTATATCAGCATGACATTTGCTGTTTCTGGTCCCCATGGTGCCTCTTTGCTTGCAGTAATTGCCCGTCATTCCCCTAGTCTCTTCCCCACCCACCACCCCATTGAGGAAATGGGTGATAAAGGCTACAGATTTTATATACCTTGAGGCTGCCCTAAGATGGTGCTGGAATAAGGGGGGAAGTACCACTTTAAACAGTAAAGATTATCTCACTTGTGGATTGCGGATGAGTTGAAGTAACAGGGACACAGCAGGAAAATGGTATTGCTATGGTATGTTTATGCCATGGTCAGGTGCAAATGGGTACACAAATTAAATCTTCACATTTATATGAACAGTCCATAATATAAGAGCAAAGGAAATATTAATTTAGCATAAACTTTACAGTACTGCAAAATAATAAATGAATTTGTACAGCTCCTTCCCGAATAAAGTAAATGATTTTATTGGAGTTCGGGTTGGGCAAGAATTAAATATACCACTTATTTTTAAACTTTAATCTGTATATCCCAGTTCTCCAAATCTGCAATACCATACCTGCCTACTTCAGATTTGCACAAGAGAAGCAAGGAGCAAAGTTCAGAGCAAGTTTTGACTGACTCCCACTTTGCCTGGGCAGGCCTCATCTGGTTTTAAAAAACTGTAACCCCTTGCTGAAGTTGCTGGTGACCCCCGGGAGAGGGTCCAAATCCATAGTTGGAGAACTCCTGTCCTACCAGGTGTTCAGATGAAACAGATGAAACATTAGCACTACCATTCCTGTGCCTGGTTATATGCTAAGCCATTGGCTGGGTTCATGTAATATACCAGGCCACAACCAAGCAAGCCAGTTTTTGGTGTGGTATAAACACAGCCACTATGGTTTGTAAACCATAATTTATAACTGATGTGAATCCAGTCATTGTGGTTTATTCAATAAATAATGGTGGCCTAGTATCTTGGGTGAACATAGCTCAGTAGGCTCTTCATCCCAAAGAAGCTTTAGGAATGAACATCCAGGCAGCCAGGTGATACAGGTAGTCCTCACCTAACAACTGTTTAACGATGGTTCAAAGTTACGATAGCTTCGGAAAAAGTGCTTTATGATCTGTACTCACACTTAAAACTGTTGCAAACCGTCACACCCTCCCTGTGGTCATGTAATTGCAATTTGTGACCTTTTTAAAGGCAATCATTAAGCAAATCATGTCGTTAAGCAAATTTTGGCAAAAAACGTCCATTGGGGAAGCTGGATTCACTTAACGACCATGTGATTTGCTTAATGACCACATGATTTGCTTAATGATCATGGTGATTCGCTTAATGACCATTGTTAAAAAGATTACAAAATTGGGTCTGGTCATGTGGTGACTCACTTAACAACTACCCTGCTTAATGATCAATTTTCTGGTCCCTATTGTGGTTGTTAAGTGAGGACTACCTGTACAGATATATATGTGTCAGCTACTAATTGTGATGCAGCCCCTCACCTGTTACACTTAGGCTCCTGATGTTGGATGTAAATATGTGAGTCACAAGCATCATGATTCCTGTTTCATCACTTGCCCCCAACTCTTCCCCGTATCTACCTATGTGTAGATGTGTGATCTTTTTCGATTAACTCTGGGATTCCCACTGACTCTTGTGTTGTCTCTGTTCTTGAGACCTAGAGCAGTAGGGGATGACGATCAAGGCAAATGTCAGGAAGGGTTTGGAGAGCATGCTGGAAAATTTTGATTAAATACAACTGAGATAAAATACTTCGGGCTGCATTAGGATTACAGAATTACATTATAATTCAGATTATAATGGGGATTCTTTGTGGAATCCTGCCCCTCTTTCTTAGAGGACGTTTTCTCACAGTCTCACTTGGGAGAAAATCTAAAACCCAAACCTGCAGGTTTTGGACATTTTCAAAGAGATGATTATTATAATAATTATAATTATAAGGTAATCTGCAAGTATCATGGCCCTCCCTTTGATTTGTATATGTGGCGAAAACATACAGAGCAAAATCTTTTGGGCGATCTTAAAATCTAAATAAGCATCTGCAGAAAGTGACCTTTCATGTAATGAACTGTGGAGGCCAGTACAGCTGACGTAATGTGTCAAAATGTGGAGTCCTCATGAGTAATCTTGAAGCTTTCTAGGGACATACAGTATTTCAATTTCAGACAGTTTTTAAAGATGGCTTCCTCTATAGCAGATTACAGTAACTGTGGTCTACCTAGTTATGGTTGCAGCTTGAATCTTAGGGACAACTTGGGCCTTTAGTTTTCTCTTATCAATTTGCTGGGTCAGTTAGCATCTCCTGTTCATATACTGTACTTATCCCTTTTGAAGAAGTGCTGCATCTCTAGAATAGGTTGCATATCGCTCATCCAGGAATATTACAAATCTCTACCATGTCGTTTTACATTTAGACTCATGGATCTTTCCCATGCCAACAGGTGAGAATCTGCATATTATATATAGGTGGTTCCTTGGCTTTGGGTCCTATCCTGGGAAAGAGTTGGCGTTTATATAGAGTGTTCACTCAACAGGTGCCAGACAAGAGAGTGGTAAGTCTTGCACACAGAAACAGGAGCAAAGCGGGACTTTGGGTGGCGGCTCTTCTTGTTGCCGTGCTGAGATTTGTATGTATGCAGGCTGCTTTTTTAAAAAAAGAATTTGCTTTTGCTTGAGCGCACCTCTGGGAACAAACTTGCTCAGCATCTACTGCAACCTGACTGTTTTGGGGAACAAATGCACACAACTTTATTGGTAAATTGGATCATAATTCTTTTTAGACACATAGAAACCAGGCTCAATTACACAGCCTGGTTTTATTATTCAATTCTTGCCTCATCCTTCCTCCCAATCACTGGTTCAAGCAAGCCATTACTTTTCCTCACCCTCACGCGTAGAGGGGCTCTGCCTTGCTCTTCACAACCAGAGCAATTGCAAAAAGTGCCTGGTTGAAAGAACGCCACCAGTCTATTTTTCCAGCCTAAAAAGAGGAAGAACAGTGCTTTCCTCAGCAGAATGGTTTCCTGCCATAATAAGAGTTCGTATTGTGTTGGCAAACAGATACATGGACACAAAATGTACTGAATATGTAAGGATGGGGCTGTTAGCAATTTATTTTATTTTTCTGTGGAGAGAAGGGGAGAAAGTTTGGTTAGTCCAGGAGTTGTGGCATTTTTAGTCTTCTGATCATCCTCACTACTCTTCTGTGAACCTGTTCCTGTTTCTCTGAATCCTTCTTAAAGCATGGTGCCAGAATTGGACACAGTACTCAAGATGTGGTCTGACTAAATCAGAATAAAGTGGATTTTAAAAGTATATGTTTGCTGATGCTGTCTAAAACTGAACTTGTTTTTTTGAAAACCATATCATGCTGTTGATTTGTATTTAGTTAATACCATTACAAAATATTTCTCACAAGTGCCATCAGCAAATGTAGTATCTGCCTTTTTGGATGTGCATTTTTTTGTTTCCTATTTGAAGAGTTTTGCACTTTTTTCAGCTTCCTTTTTGACCATTTTTCTAATCTATTGAGAAGTGGTTGGATAGTGAGTGACAGCAAGACTATCCTTTACTGTGGGAATGAATGGTGTCCATCATGTGCATGGTGTTGGTCTGGTGTTAAAAAGCCAATGGATGTTCTAATAGGATGGAAGTCAATGAATGAACATGTCATCACAACGAGGTTCCAGTCAAGGCATACGAAGACCACCATCATTCAAGTGTATGCACGAATTGAAGATACATATGAAGCTGAGAAGGAGGTCTTTTATGAGCAGTTACAAGACACTATCAACAGTGTCCCCAGCCACAATGTTATTTTGCGGATTGGTGATCTGAATGCACAGATAGGCATCAGTAGGCAAGTTTGGGAACGTGTCATAGGCCCACGTGGATCTGCATTGCAAATAAGTGAGAATGGAGAGTGCATGCTGCTCTTAATGTAGCATAAATAGCTTCTGTGTTGAAACCCCCTTTGCCTATAAAGCCATCCATAAAAGATGTGGCAATCATCCAGCAGGGCTACTAGTAATGAAATTGACTGCATTAGTCTGTAGTATTAAATGATGGAGATCCACACTTCTCAGCATGAAGACATATCATGGAGCAGATGTTAGTTTTGATCATCATCTCTTGTTGGCATTGCTCAAGCTCTGACTGAAGAGAAAGCAGTAATCATACTTGGTCCACCTTTTTGCTATGGATAAGCTGAAAGATCATGCTGCTGCCAACCAGTTCAGAGGGAACCTGGAGAATCATTTCTGTCAACAGCAGCATCACATTACCCTTGAAGATCAGTGGACACATTTCAAAGAAATTGTGATCAAGAGTGCAAAGGACACAATTGGAGGAACAAAAGGAACCCAAAAAGAGTACTAGATAGAACCTGATAGCTAATTGACTAACAAAAAGCCATCAAACACAGAGGGACCAAGTTAAGACACCAACTGAGAAGGTAGAGGCAATGCAAGGATACTATGCAATGGACTACAGGATTAAGAGAAGTTGTCAAGCTGATTAAAAGCAGTGGTTAGAGAATAAGGGACTGAAGTGCAAGAAGCAGTGAGTAAGAATGACAGCACTATATCACATTGTCCAAGATGTAACAAGAAGTAGCTCCAATGCTTCTACAAGGTTAAAACAGAAGTATCTTACTTACTACAGAAGAGCAAGATGCATGCTGGGTGATGCACTTCAAAGAAACATTAAATCAGCCAACACCACCTACAACCTATAATTTTTGTGCTGATAACCTTCCTGAGAGCATGTATGTAGATATGAACAAAATTTCTTTCAGTGAAACTAATAAAACAGTAAGATTGTTGAAGAACAACAAAACCTCAGGGTCAGACCAAGTCAAACTGTTCATACTGAAACATACCAGAAACACCATGGTCTATGAGTTCAGCATAGCTGTTGAATAAATGCTGGCAACAAGAATGTGTCCTGGCCAAGTAATGAAGACGAGCATGAAATTGCCAAAGAAAGGCAGCAGTAATGATTGTAACAAATGGAGAGGCATCAGACAGTTCTTGGTGCCCAGGAAGCTATCCTGAGTTGTCCTGCTCAGATGGCTCCTTGATGCTGTAGATGACACACTGCACAAGGAACAAGGCTTCTGTTGTGAAGATCATGCTGTGAACAAATTTTCTCCATGCGTAACATTATTGAATTCCAACAGCTGCTCATTATCAATTTTACTGACTTCAAAAAGTCTTTTGACAGCATGCATAGAGAGTGATTATAGAACATTGTCAGAGCTATGGCATTCCCCAGTGACCCACTAATATTTTCAGGAGTCTGTACCTAAATTCCATTTGCTGCTTAAGGACTGACGGGCACTAGTGAGATTTTGAACATCAGCACTGGAGTTCAGCAAGTTTGTATTCTGTTGCCATTGTTTGTTCCTTCTTGTTGTGGACCTTGTTATGAGAAGACCCATGAAACAGCCAAACTTTGGAATTCTATGGAAAGACAGTTCTTGGCTTATGGACCTGAGTTTCGCAGATTATACTGCTAGCAGGAACCAGAGAATGTCTGCAAGACATGACAAATAAGCTGAAAACAGGCCTTCAAAATTGGGTTATGAAGTAGAACCACCAAAACAGAGGAGATGCAAGCAGGAAATGCTAAAAGGATCACAAGACTTCTTGTCAGACATGAACACATTGAGGAGATAGAGCAGTTCACCTATCTGGGAAGCACACTTTGCAGTGATGGAGATCCTGAGGTAGATATCAAATCCAGGATCAGAAGAGCATCAGTGTTATTTCAGCATTTGCATCCAAATTGGTCCATGTCAACTATTAACATTGAGACAAAGCTCTGACTTTACAATAGAAAGAAAAAGATACACAGGTACAAATTAAGCAGTACCTGCCTCAGTAGTAGTACTTGCAAGAAGGATCTGAGTGTCTGGTAGACCACAGAATAAGCATGAGCCAGCTGTTTGCCGCAGCTGCCAAAAAGCCAGTGCAGTTTGGGGCTGCATCATTAGAGGTATAGTGTCAAAATGGAGAGGTATAGTGTCAAAATGGCAAAACTGACTTCTTTGATTAGAGAAAAAACAATACAGTGGTACCCCTACTTACGAATGCCCCTACTTACGAAATTTTCAAGATACGATCAGCTCCGGCCCCAAAACTTTACCTCTACTTACAAACTCGCCTCGACTTATGA